CAGGAACAAGGGGCCTCCCTTTCCCTCCCAGCTATGAGGGAACCCCCCACTTCTTTCCTACTCTACTTTCCGGATCAATGCAGAATACTTCTGTGGCAGATGTGTCGTTCTTCCTGCAGCTACCAGTTACGTGGGAAATACACTTGGGTGTTCCACGTGACACCAGACGCAGCTGCCTGGAGCTGGCACAGGCCATCCACAGCTGAGTGCCTCACTCACCTGTGACCCGAGCTGCTAAGTGGGGGGACACTATCTTTTCTTTGAGTTTGATGAATAGAGTGGCCTCCAGAATCGGGGGTGGGGAGTACACCGGCTGGTTTGTTACCAGGGACACAAGAGGGGCTGCCACCTTCCAGGACCCTCAGCCTGTACCACTGTCAGCAACTTTCTGGGAGCCTTGGGTGACACCTGGGCCTCGGTGAACTGCCTACCCTGGCTGGGCCTTGTCAGACCCCATGGTGCAGCTGCCTTGGGGAGGGTCAGCAGACAGGTCCTGGGGACACACAGAATCCTCATTCCTGGAGCCCCCGAGGCTGGGTGCTGCCTGCCCAGAGACGACCAGCAGCAAACAGCTCACTAACGTGAGATCTCTGTCTCAGCCTCCAGTGCTGCGTGCCAGGCACATGCTGGGGGCTGCTACACCACCTTCGCAGGACCATTTTAAAGTTACTATTATCTGAAGAAACACTGGATGCTGCTGGGAAAGTTGCAAAGCTGGCGAGGGTTCCCTGTCTGCCCTTCACCCAGACGCCTGCGATGCCCTGCAACCCTCCCAGGGCGCTGGGGTCAAAACCAAACCAGACCTCGGGACTGGCCAGGTCTCCTGCTGATGTGGCTTCTGTCCCATGGCCCACTGAGGGTGGCCCCTCTGCCTCTGGGAGGGTTTTATCAAGGAGCTCAGAGCTTCACGGCAGCCTCGTTCAAGGCCAAGCACATCCTAGGGCCAGTCAGGGCTGGCTCCCCTAGGAGCGGGAGAGAGGATGCACATCCTGGAAACCAGCAGTGCCGGGGGCAGGGCACTGGCACTATGACCCTCAGGCAGGCTGGAGGCCCCCAGGGAGGCCCTGCTGGGCCCATCTTGTGAAAGCCTCTCCCTAAGCACAAGCATGGCCTGAGGGAGCCTGGGGTCCCCTGAGAGGAGCGGCCACTTGTCCTCCCAGGACAATCCCAGCTCAGTCCAGGGTCCCCCGGGGAAGTCAGCCTGGCCAACCTCAAGGTAGACTCAGGACCTGAGGGTGGTGAGGGCGGGGTGCGGCACAGCCGGGCACTGCTGCTTTTCTGGACTGCAGAGGCTTCTGGGAAGAGCAAAGCCTCTGCTGCACACTGGCTGCCCACACGCCTGGGCACTGAGACCCAGACACACCAGGGCCCCCATACAGGCCACCTGCAAACGACTCCGCCGGCGGCCTGTGCCACACAGATCCCCAACTGCCGCCCCACGACGTGCCCTGTGATCCAACAGTCAATCCACAGCCGGGCTGGGTTCTCAAGCTGAATCAACTCCAAAGCTGAGCCCTGGCCTCTGGCAGGGCGGACGCCCAACTAGCCCCAGCAACGGAAAGCAGAAAGCCCACTTCAGAGCTTTCTCTAAAATCCTCCAAAGACCGATACCTCTGCAGGTGTGGAGAGCCCCTGGGCAGCAAGCCCCCGCCCATCCCTGCATCCCAACCCCAGGCTGGGAGCAGAGTGTCCCGCATCCCTCCATCTGCCTGGGATTTTCTCTTTCGTTTGGCTCTGTCCTCTTTCTTCCTCCCCAGGCACAATTAGCTAGCCTTTGCTTTGGAATCTTTTAGTAAAACCTTTGATTCTGCTCTAGAACTTTTTCTTGAATTCCACATTCTCGCTCTCTCTGTCTGGGTCTAAATATATCCCCTGGATGGAGCCAGAGCCCATTTTCCCATCTCCTTTTCTGCCCACCTCCAGTGTGGGCTGCGGATGACGCATCCGCTCTTATTTATTGGGGCCGAGACATCCAGCCACCCAGGGAGAACTCCTCTTCCCGCCTGCGAGGGCTGGGTGTGCTCAGGGTGCTCCGTGCTGCAGACGCAGGAGGGACTTGGGGACCCTTTCTAGGGGCCCAGATTTTATACAGCAGGCAGCTGGCAAGTGACTTCCAGAAGCATCTCAGCTGCCCCTCCCTCCTGAGCACCCCATATGCATGCAGAAGGCAAAGGGGGGGGGGCTGCAGTAGGACAGCTAGTTCCGAGGCTAAAGCCTGGGAAGGCCATGTGGAGACCACACCTATGGCCCCTGGTACTTGGTGGCTTGGGGGAGCTCCCCCCGCTGAGGTCAGGGTAGCCATCTGGCATGCTGCTATCTGATGTCAGGGAGCTCTGCGCTCTCTGGAATCTCTTCCTCCAGAATCAGCAGGATGTGCCCCAGATTGCTCGTGAGCCCTACCGCCAGGGCTTGTAAGTCTGTGAAGGGCAGGGGCGTGAGCTCCCCACTGGTGGGGCCAGCAGACAGCCCCCAGCCCTTGAGCTGCACCACATGCCCCAACATGAGCCACACCACCCTCTCCTGCACTAGCCCCGCAGCCAGTGAGGGGTGCGGCTGCAAACACCCTGTTACTAGACGGCTCAGGTGTGCAGTGCCCATGGGGGCTACCAGCCCCAGCTGCCTGGGGGCAGTGTGGGGCAGGCGTCCTCTCCTCTCAGGATGGTATCTCGTGTGCTCTGCCTCTCAGCCTTGCCGCTAAGCCTGGGCCTCTTCATCCCAGGCCAGCAGGATGGACCGAGTGGCCATGCTACACATGTGCGCTGGGCCGCTCCGAGCTTCCTACTTCCTTCTTGTCCCTGCTGTCCCAGGACCTGTGTGAGCCTCAATGTTGGGTCAAAGTCAGGACTGAGGAGAAAGCTCCCATCTTGCAGGAGATTTGAAGTTGGAAGCTGAGAAAGGCTTGGGTGTGGCCTCACTGCTGGCTGGGGACCTGGAGGCCACCCTCTGCACGGGCCACTTAGAGAAAGGGATCTTAGGCAGCACACTGCTTACACCCGGAGCCTCTTCTTCCTCATCTGCGAAGGGGAGTACCTTCCTAGGATGTATTAGGGCCCTGTGATTAAATAGGCACTTACTTTTTTTTTTTTCACAAACCACGTTCAGCTACTTCTGCACCCTGTTCCCCAAAATATAACCAGGCCCCCTTGTTACTGAGCTGATGTGACCCTGGGAAGTCCTGAAAGGTTGGCGACAAGACAGAATTCCTGAATTTGCCACATCTAAGAGCCATTCAGTGAACACCGTCCAGGATGGAGGGACAGTTTTGCCAGTAGCTCCCATGGAGCCAGAGGCCAACGTGAAGTTAGCAGAAGGTTACTAATGTGGTGCTGAACAGAGCCAATGGCAGGTCTTTTGAGTGAACAACGCATATCAATACATCGCAAGTAAAATATTTACATATCGTTATTTGTAGATTTGAGATCTCATGCCCAAAGAAATGAACAGAGCTGGCAGTGATGCCATTTACTTCTCAAAACGACAGTCTCCAAGCTTTGGGGTGCTGTGGGAACCTCGAGTTCCAGAACGTTATCACAGGAGACCCAAGATGGGGAAGCAGAGGTTTGAACTGGTTCTGAGTCCTTCTGGGAGGCTCTGTCCCAGGAGGGCCAAGGGCTGCATTTAGGGGAGCTCTGCTATCAGGGACAAGGGGGAAAGGGGCCCAGGTGGGCCTGAGCCCCCCGGGTGGGGAAGGCAGGGCCCTCCGTCCACAGAGCAGGGCACTGTCCCCATGACAAGGCGTGGGCAGCACCTCCTGCAAATGTGGAAACGGAGGCTTGGCCCTCTGTAAGTATTCCTCTCATTCCACTAACTGTAGGGCTGGCCCCCCAGGACTTCTGGGGCTCCCAAGCTCAGGGAAGAGGGCACTGACTGATTCATATGGGACACTGTGGGCTGGGGCTGTGGGAGTGGGCGCTGTGGTGCACACTTGAGCGTTCTGACTCGACCTGGGGCTTTCTAGGGACCCCTGCTCTTGGTGCGCGTGGCTGCAGGTGGTCCCTGAGCCTGTAGACAACTGGTTGGTTCAGTTTTGCTCTGTTCCTCTCAAGTCCAGCTGTGCACAGGAAGGAGCTGGCCAGCCAGAACACTTTAGGCCTGGAAGGAGCTGGTCAAAGTTTCTGAGCGCCTCAGCCGAGTCCCCTCCCAGCTCTGGGCCCCATGCAAAACAGCTGGCCCCCAGGAGTTGTGGATCCCCACTCCCAGCCTCTGGGGGGCCTTGCTATTCTTATTTCAGGACAGGACAGTGTGAAAAATCACAGCATTTATAAATAAAATGAAGTTTCCTGTGTCCATGTGAACTCCTAGAGCCTAGGCTAGCTCCCACTAGGACCCTACTTGGGGCGCTGGCTGCAGTAGAGTCAACTTCCGGCAGGCAGGCAGACCAGGGTAAGGACCCAGATTCCCACACCCCAGGTTCCTGAGACCCAGCATTCCTGTGATTTCAGCCTCGGTGACCCGAGCTCAACCAAGGCGGCTGCAGTGTAAACGACACCCGGCCTGTGACCTCCAAGAAGACCTTGGCCATCCTGGCAAGGCCAGCTTGGGGGCTGTGCTCAGAACACGGCCGCAGGTGAGCGTCTCGCGCTCATGGCTGGGCCAGGGCTGCACCGTGTTGGGAGGAAGCCGGTCTCCTCCTTCCTGGCCGCCGCCGCCGCAGAGGTTAAATCCAGTTCTTCTCGCCCCGCCCATTCCCTCCGAGCCTCGAATTTCAACACCAGAAAGTCCTGCGCCCGGGGCTCTGTTTCCACTCCGCGGGAGACTGCGCTCTCTTCTCCCCGCTCTCCCCAGCGTCTCCCGCCAAGTGCCCGCCTTTCCGCCCCAACTTCTCGGAGCTTCGCTCCAGCAACCGAGAGAAAGGACGCCCTGGGCAGTTTTCCATGATTATCTCTTTCCTGAGGGCCGACGCCTGGAGCGCACAGAGCGCAGACACAAGCACACCCACCCACCCTCGCGCCGCACCCCACGTCGCGGGCGTGCACCCCATTGTGGGGCACGGCACTCACCGCCAAGACGCTGTGGGTTACCAGTCCCACTGTCACGGCGCCCAGCAGCAGCCACCTGTGGGGGAGGGAGGAGGACAGGACTGAACAGGCGGCCCTCGCTCGCCCACTCCTGGAAGTTTCGCGCGGGCGGCGGGGATCGCTTACCCGGTCGGCGCAGGGCCCATGGCGAATCCGCGGGCGCAGTCGGCGCAGCTTGGTCCCTCCTAGTCCTGCGGCCGAGACAAAGAGGGTTAACAGGGAGTGGGGGCGCGATGCAGCCAGGCTGCGTCCTGGGGTGCGTTCCGGGTTTCCTGGAGCGGACCCGATACAGGCCAGTCCCTCTGCGGACAGAAGGTACGCCTTCCCGTAGGCCCGGCTAGAGCAGCGCGATGCACGGCCCGGGTTCCCCCTGACCCGGGGTCGCTCTCACCTCGGTGGGCGTCAGGCGCGGCCGCTCGCTCTCCTCGGCCGCTCCACGGGAGCGCGCCGGGGACACAGGCTGGCGCGGCTTCCGGGACCCCGGCGTCCCTGCTGCGTCCCGGGCCCGGCCTGCAATCGCGGGGCGCAGGGAGTTGCGGGGCGCAGGCGATCGCGGGGCGCAGGCAGCGCTCGCGGAGGCTGGCGCAGCGCAGAGCCCCGGCGCCCTGGCTGGCGGCGGCCGCAATTGCGAGCTGCGCGCTCCCGCCGCCTCTTACCCGCGCCGCAGGGTCCTCCCCTTTGAGACGCCGCCCGCGCTCCGCCAAGGGGAGGGGGCAGCGCCAACAAATTGGGGAGCTCGGCCCGCCGCGCTCAGGTCTCCGCTCGGAGCCGCCGCGCCCGGGACGGTGCGCCGCACTCGCCCATCCTCGAGGTCCCTGCGCCTCCCTCTGCGCCCCGCCGCCCCGCGCGCGCCGCCGCCATGGGGCCCCGGCTCGGCCTCTGGCTGCTGCTGCTGCCCGCCGCCCTTCTGCTCCACGAGGAGCGCAGTCGGGCCGCCGCCAAGGTGAGTCCCGCCGGCTCGTCTGCCCGCGCCCCGCGCCCCGCGCCCCGGGGCTTCTTTGTCCCGCGCGCCCGGCCGCCCCCGGTCCTCAGGTGCGCTTTCCCCGCCGCTCCCCTCGGGGGACCCCTGTGGGCTGCGATCACTCGGCCGCCACCGAGCCTCCTTTGTTATGGTCCGGCGCGGAAAGTTAGGGAAGCCCTCCCGGCTCGCGGGAGGAAGAAGCCGTGCGCTGCGCAGCTGCGGGACCAGGGAGCCCGGAGATGGCTGCGGGATTCGAACCCGCGTCGCCGCCGAGGTGCTCCCGCCTGGGCGCCTTCACCTGCGCCGGGAGCCCGAGTGGGTCGCGGCTGGAGGGTGGACACCTGGCCCGCGCGGCGCAGATAGCCCCACGCGTGTGCACGGGAGTCGCTTTGGGTGTGTTCCTCTTGTCTGGGACTCGTGTTTGAGACAGAACGGCTCTGGGCCCTTTGCCTGGAAATAGCTGTTTCTTTGGTTTCCCACGACTTTGTGTGGCCCGAGGCCGCACGAGAGCGAGAGCAGGCGCTTGCGTGCGGCTGTCGGCGTCCTTTCCTCGCTCCTTTGGTCACTTTAAAAATCACGGCCTCATTTCTATGTGAACGTAAAGCTAAAGTGAAACTGCGGTCCCTGTTCCACGCGCAGATTGCAGTTCTCTTTTCCTTTGATTCTGTGGTTGCCCAGAACGGCTCGGGGTGTCGCAGCTGAGGCGGGTTACCCTCCGCAGCCGCCACAGCTGAGCCTCCCCTCCCTCGGAGAACGAGGACGCCTGCTGGGAGCCTCCGCGCAGTTCGGGATCTAAGGTGTGGCCTCTGGGCCCTCACTGCTTTTCCTCTCAAAATACTTAAAAAGGAGTTTTGCTGCTTGCTGGGTTTCCCACGCTTACTTTTTAACCGTTTCTTAATGCTTCGATTTGTTGTTGTTGTTTCCTTTTTAAGAATTTCACTTCTCTTCCAGAAGAATGCGACCGCCTAACTCGGCTGCGCAGCAAGTTTTAACTGTTACAGACTAGGATAAACTGTTACTGCGCACACCCCGCTCCCGCCGCTGAGGGCTGGCTCTGCTCTCTGCTCCTTCCTGGGGCGCAGAGGGAACGGCAGGCACATCTTCGGTTGATTCCAGATGTCCCCGCGCCGTTTGCTGGCCTGCCCTGCCCTTTTAAATTGCCCCTCTGTGACAGTGACAAAGATCTTTCAAAAGAGTGGGCTTGAGAACACTTCGCTTGGGTTGAGGAATATGGACCCAAAGGTCTAACAGCTGAGGTCTGATAGCTGCCCAGATCAGAGAAAGTTCTCTTGGGAAACAGAAACCCTGTTTGGAGGAGATGTTTTGATTGATAGCATTAGCGAGGCTGAGCTAATTGGAAGAGCTAGCATTTCAAACATCCAGGACTTTAAAAAAAGAAAGAAAGAAAGAAAGAAAGAAAGAAAGAAAGAAAGAAAGAACTCACATAGGCAGACTCCTGTTCTTGCCTGAAAAATCTAACTCATCACTGTTGACTTTTGGATTATTTTAACTATTTTCAAGAGGCCAAGTGCATTCCTGACCACTCGCTCTGTCCTTCCAGGTATCTAAAGTGGATTAAGACACCTGGTATGTGGCCCCTCTGGCAACTGACCTCACAGATGTTATTAGATTGCAATTTTCCTGGCTAGATTAGAGAGGAGGAACAATATGCATATGGCTAGTAGGCATCCAAGAAAATTTATTTAAAAATAATGTTTTGGTAATTTTTAAATTTACCTCTCTTTTCATGTCATCTGTAACATTTTTACTCAGCATCTTCCTAAATCAGCTGTTAGGTAGAGCAGGATGTTGAAGCAACTCCTATATCAATCCAAGTAAAATATAATTTAAAAGTAAAGTTTGAGTAAGATTCCACAGATTTGTGAAATTCTGACACAGGAGCCAGCACTGTGATTCCTGAGGTAGCTGCTTCCCTAGGTCGGGCCCCGCTGCCCTGAGACCAGACTGTGCCGTGGTGCGCCAGGTGTGCGTTCCACTTAATATTATTTTCTTGTGTATTTGCATAGCTGTTTGATTTTGCACTTGGCTGTCCCTGTGGAGGTCCTTGCTCCTTTACTAGTCGATGGATTCCCAAACCCCCATTCCACTCCTGTCCCCACTTTTCTTAGCCAAGCGAAGAGGAGCAGGGTGTGGCCAGCTCTGTCTCCCACGTGCTGGGTCCCAGCTTCTCCTTGTGGTCATGCAGCCTCCGCCTGTGATTTCTTGGGGTTGGAAATGTGACCTTTCACCAAGAGTTGGGGACCCTTGCCCAACCACCTTATATCCTCTTGGCCATTAGGCAGTGCTGCTAGCACTGAATGACCAGGAGCTCAGGCAGAATGAAATTTAGTTCCCTGCCAGCAGGACCCAGGTCCACCCAGATGTCCTGGTGAGCCCCTTCCTTGGTAGCACGAGAGGTGCTGGTGCCCCGTCCTCAGTGGCAGCCCTTTTCTGTGGAACAGGAGGAGCCTGACTGGCAGTGACCACGTGTGTTCCTCTTGTGGCTCTTGCAGAGGTAGGGTGCCCTCAGGACAAGCGGGTCCCACATCTCATGTCTTCTTTTACTGAGCAGATGACTGGGGAACTCCTGGAGTCTCGTGGCTCAGTCTCCCTGCAGAGCTCCCCCTTCTCCCATGGACCCATTCATTTCTCCTTCATCCCTCACAGGTGTGTGTCCCCCCTGCCCCCTGCTCCAGCCAGGCGCTGTCCATGAATGAGGTGATTCAGGCTCTGACTGCTGAAGGTCCAGGAAAGTAGGGAGATGTTAGGAAAGAGGCCCTACAATCTGGGCTGGCCAGTGCCTCAGTGAGGGGAAAGCAGGCCACGGGCACGGCTGGCTTTGGAGAATAAGGAAACTTCTGGAAGCCCATTCAACCTCTGAAGTATGTGGAAGAGATAGCAGCTGTAAAGATTTTGCAGGAGCCGGCTCTCGATCCCCAGGGTCTTTGTATTAATGATAACCCAAGCTCCTTCCTAGGAGATTGCAGATGCCATTGTTGGGATTGTTAACGATCTGGTGGCTGACCTTGGGTCCCTGAGGGACAGAGAGGAATGGAGGGGCAAGGTCTGAGGGCTGCACAGATAAGGAGTCCCTGGGTCCCCTGGGGTGCCTGGGAGTTCCACATGGATGACTGCCTCTAGGCAGGAGTGCCTGCCAGAGCTGACCCAGAAAACCTACCCCAGCCGGACAAGGACAGGGAGCACACAGAACCTCCATTACTCATTAACAAGCCTGTCGGCCTATTTCTGGTTATTTAGTGAAGAGCTGGTAAGGATTTTGCAGACAAAGGCACTCGCAGGGGACACATCAGACCAGTCCTTGTCACTGTCGGCAGGGCATCCCCCAGCTCTCGTGGTGTTTGTTCACAGCAAACTTTGCTGCACAGGCCTCCCTCCCCTCGTTAAAGTGTCTCCAGCAAGCTCGGCCTGGAGCTCCCGGGAGAGGAGGCAAGAGCCACAATAGAATGCCTGAAATAATACCGTTAGGGCATTGTTCTTCCTGCTGTTATTAAACACCACTAAAAAATGTCAGCCAAAGAACAATGCGAAAGCCATATTCCTCCCATTCTCTTGCAGACAATGGGGCAGGCTGTGTTCTAATTGCGCATTTCTTTGGGGGTGTTCCGCCCCATGAGGGGACCTGGTTCATACTTATTCCTGTGTCCTGGGGCCCCTTCACTGCCTTGTCCCCAGCCCTGCATGCCAGGGGCTGGTGTCCTGGGGTGGCCCTGCTGCTCTGGTAGCATGGGGCCCCAGGCTCTCTACCTGGAATCTGCCCTGGGGTCACTGTTATGTCACTCCAAAAAGGCATACCCAGCTGTCGGGAGTGGCCACTGCCTCTCTCAGACCCATGCCCTGGGTCAGCTTCCCCTTACTTGCTGGTGCCCCTGCTGTTCCTGAGGCCACACCCGCCTCACGTGACCCCATTGCTGCTGTCACCGGCCGGCTGTGTGGAGTCAAAGCCTCCTCTTCCACAGCTGGAGCCCAATGGCTGTGGCCATTGGCTGTGCTCAGGCCCCACCAGGGTCTGCGGGTGTCACTGGGCATGCGCAGCTCCCCCTCAGCAAGGGCCCCTCCCTCCAGCTCTGCAGTCTGACTGGTGCCGCAGACCTGGGGGCTGCTTTCCTCCTGCTCGGGCGCTTGCAGCTCTTAGTTTGCACTACTGCAGCATCTCCCTGGGATCAGAGTCACTGTGTAGGCTGGCAGGCATCTGGGTTCTCATGTCTGTTACTTGTTTGTTTGTTCAGTTGAGGATTTTTTTTTTTTTTTTGGCAAAGGGGGTCTTGCTGTGAAGCCCAGGCTGGCCTCTAACCTGCAGTGGTCCTCCTGCCTCGGCCTCCTGAGTGCTGGCACCACCACACCCAGCTGGATTAAAACTCCAGTTTACTTGTGGCTCTGCCTCTCAGGAGCAGTGGCCTCTGGCCAAGCTCTGCTGCTGTGTGGGTGCAGCCGCAGGCATCAGGTGCTGCAGGTTGTAGCCTCAGCCTCGTGGCTGGGGTGGCGTCATCTGGGTTGGCCCCGAC